GGTCAGGAGAGGTCTCCCTCGCCATGTGGTCACCTCCGGGGCAGGAGGGGATCGAACTCATGCAGAAGTGGCTTTAGCTTCTTAGTGCAGTGCTTTAACCTGCTGCGCCACCAGGGAGGGCCCCAGATGCTTCTTTCTGATAGCAAAGGTGCCTTAACACCTGTTCAACCCCAGCAGGCTCTCAGGGAACCCAGGGAGTTGACTGGCCTCCATGTGTGACCATGTATGTCTCCCTTGTTAGATAACCATGTATGTCACCCTTGTTAGACTCCTTAGTCTGTTGTTTCCTGATAGTCTCTTCCTATCAGGAAACAGATAACAGGCTTGTTATCTATCAACAGTTTTATTTTATCTTCTACTTCTGTTTCTTTTCCACTGGCTTGATAAAGGATTAGTGCTGCACTTTTGAACAGGAGTGGAAAGAAGACGCCTGTATTATTACTATTACTTGATGCTATTACTCAAGGAATGGCCTCTGGTCACCTCCTGCTGTGTAAGGCCAACACCAAGCTTCCAGATTAGATTTTTTTATTATTATTTATAATAGTTTATTTTCACATCATTTTGTGCCTTTTTCCCCGTGGACTTCCCATCACCAAATCACCCATGTGCCATCACCATAGTCCAGTGCATTTCCCTCCCCCCACTGTTTTTGATCCCACTCCCCACTACACCCCCACAAAATGTCTCTGGTATATAGCTGTTCATCATTATCATTATTTTCTCGCCTGTTCCGTTACAAATTAGATTTATTAACACCACAAACTGAATATATTAACAGACATGAGCTGTCTAAGCACCTATTTCTCCCAAATCAGTCCCAGAAGCTTGGGTGTTTCTAGGAATCAGGGCCATTTTGAACAGCTGATCTCATGGTTATGAGCTGCTCTGTGACCTTTTGACTGTTGGTCAGAACTGCCATCCTGCTGCTCACTCACTCTTGTTGCTCTGCTGCCTCTCCGTCTCTCTTCAGCCAGCTTAGAGGTGAAGAGGGAGCTTCCTGTTTCACTGATTTCTGTCTGTTTTTTTGACTTGTTTGCCATCTCCTGGTTGCTCCATTGACAGTGATTCTTCCTGCATGTGTTAGAGCTAACTCGTGCTTTAATTTCTTTTTTATTTTTAACTTAACTTTATTTATTTATGTATACAAGAGCCCTGGTGTAGGCCAGAGTTGCAGAGGGTGAGAGAACTCATCAGAGACAGTCTGGAGCAGAACAGGCGCACCTACTGAAATACACTGCTGAGGGGAACAGCAGGCAAGACAGGAGAGGTCTGCAGGTGCCATGTGGTCAGCTCCCTGGTTGGGTGCTGCTGCAGTGGCTGGTGATAACGTCACAGTGTTGAGACTTTTAACCCTTGCACTAGCAGGGAGGCCCACTCTTTAGTTTCTTTAGATGGGATTACTGATTTTTGGTCTTTGTTTTTTACTATTTATACTCTTAAATTTTTCAAGTAGTTCTGCTTTAACTATAAACCAGAGATTTTATATATTATCTTTTCATTTTCACTTAGTTTAAGCTATTTTTGTGATTCCCCATGTGACCTGTAGCTTGTTTGATTTCCAGGTGTTTGGGATTTTGGGGGTATGTGGACCTCTAGTGGGTCTGGGGCCTGGGATGCAGCTGTGAAGGGTAAACCAGAGGAATAACTGCTATGTCCAGCATGCAATGGAATTTTATTTTTAAGCATCCCATTTTATACCCCTTGTTCCAAGCTTCAGCAAAAGCATATCTTTTTTTTTTTAAGCATTTTTTAAAATTAAGCTCTGTATACATTTTACTTTTCCCCCAGCACTTTCTCCTCAAAACTATACTGGGCAGCTTCCTCACACACATACAACCAGGACTTCTTTTTTACTTGGCTCTTTATCTTTACTGAAATGCTGGGCTGTGCCCGCATGACCTGTGTCCATGTTCTTGGCTCTCAGCCCTGGTTTCCAAGGGCTTTCCCTTGGACACATGCGCTTTCACATGCACCAGGTGGACCGTAGCCAGACATGGAACAAGATCAGACAGGCATCACGCCAATAGGGGTATTTTTAGTTAATGTTGTTATCTGGGACTTTACTTTGATTCTGATCTTTTCATGTTGTTGTGGTTTGCTTTGTGACATGGGATACCTTGAATTTTCCACGTACTCTTAAAGGAATTTCTGTCTACCAGTTGCTGTGTTTGCTCTATACACATCAGCTGTTTAAGCCAACCAAGTATACTGTACTGGGTTTCCCTTTGCACTGATTCCTAACTGAGTCTCTCATTCTGTTTGCTGGGGCAGCTCAGTATAGCAGAGGCCTACCCCTAATATTCTGCCTCCACTTCTGCTCCGTCGGTGTTGGGCCTTCCCAAGCTCCCTGCTTCTACCCATAGCTGCTTTTGTCCCCTTTGCTCCTGTTTGTCTAGTCACTGTCAATTCTACCAGTCCCTTGGAATGAAGATGGCCAGCCTTAACAGGGATTATGCTTTTGTAGATAACGTTTGAGGATGTGGCTGTGGATTTCACCTCAGAGGAATGGCAGCTACTTGATCCTACTCAGAAGATCTTGTACAGAGATGTGATGTTGGAGAACTATAGCAACCTGGCTTCTTTGGGTAAGAACGTCCTTCTGTAATGTAGACTGTGCTAGGACTCTCATGCCTCCAGGAAGCTTACTGATTATGGATATGAGCTGCAGATGTCAGAAGTTATTTCCCGTATTGAAAGGTCTTTATTCGCCTGCTTCATGTCACTGCCATTGTAAAGACATGTCTTCTGTATGTATGAGTTAGTGGCTGAGTCCTCTGTGTTTCCAATTAACAGGCCGACGACCTTGCAAGCCTGACATAGTTTCCAGGGAGGAGTGTTGGGGAGAGCCATGGCCAGGAGGCAAGTCTCTCCTGCAACAAGAGGTTACAGGTAAGACATATGTGGCACACAGGGAAGGTTGAGGTCCCAGATTTTTGATGATGGAAGGGTACTTTTGAGTGTTGTGTGTAAATTGTATTTAAAGTTCCTCACAACTGTGACAAGTCTGTGGTTCTTGCTGTACTCGGATCCCTAGTACCCCCTTTGGATGCTCCCTGAAAAATGATGCTGGATTGTCCCTCACCCAGACACAGTGTGGTTGATGGCCTCTCACTCGGGCCTTCTTCCCTAGATAAGGTGGCCGTTCCCCAGTCCAATCTGTAGAATTAGGCTTCTTTCCTTCTCTAACAATTCATAAATTCTTTCTCATTTGAGGTGATATTCTTTATCTTTGAGCATCCTTTATTACCTCATTTGCTGTAATTTGTCTGGTTTCTGTTCTAAACCACAGAGTAGAGGTGAGTCCAGAGGTATAGAATAAGAATCAAACACCTGAAATGGGGCAGGGAAAAGGTAGTACCCTACCTGTGTATGCGAAGATGTTGTCTGCCTTCCCCCAGAGTTCTTCCTGGTATACAGACCTGCAGCCTCTAAACATCCTCCTCCACCCCAGTTGGCTGCCAGATCCCCTGTGTCATCTTAGTTCCATTCATGTTGAAGAACCTCATGTGGTTGGAGACTATGCATACAAGAACTGGGGAACGGGCCAGAGGTGCAAGGGTGAAAGGGTTCCATCAGAGACAGTAGGATCAGAACAGGCAGATCTACTGAAATACACTGCTGAGGGGAGCAGCTAGGAGGCAGAAGTGCAATGCATTGTGAGTCAGCTTCCTGGCTGGGTATTAAAGTGCTGTAGTGGCTGCAGATAGCTTCATAATGCTAAGACTTAACTCCCTTGCACCACCAGGGAGGCCCTGTTGCAGCCTCTTACCTACCAAAACTGGTAGGTTTTGTCCAAAGTTATTGTTAGTCCACTCAGATGAGTCCTGTCCCCAACACCAGTCACTGTACCTGATGGGGTCGCCCTTTCCTCTCCTAGTGAGACACTGTCCCTTTCGCAGTCAGACTCCCAGTGACTGTTCCTAATGCCAGAGTGTTCTGAAATCTCTAGGGACCCAGGTCTAGCCAGTCATCACCTGGAACGCCATAGCCAGTTAGGCCATGGAAAGATGGAAGGTAACTTAGGCTTCTGTGCCCTCTCTGGAATCTACAGTGTAACAAGTAGTTCATTAATTGATTGCTGTAGGGCCAGATAAGGTGAGATCTTTTTTGTTAACTAAATATTTCTTTAAAACACAGACTTTCATCTAAACATGTGTTAAATTATATTTCCTAATTGATTGGTTGGTTTTCTGTGCTGAACATGTATTAGGGTTTAGGTGGGAAACATTTATAACTGCATGTCTAGGCAGCATGTACAGGGATTATTAGATCTGGGTCTGCATGGTTGGAAAAACTGAAGACAGGTGTAAAAAACCTGAAGAGGCTTTAGAGTTTTCATACAGGAAAAAATATAAAATATAAAACCCCAATAATTCAGCATTTTGAAGGCTGTCTCTGTATATTGAAGGCTTGTCTTCTAAGCCTGTTAGCCCCAAGCCCAGGGGTTACACCAACAGGAAAGACACAGTGACTACCTGCTGGATGGGCACTGCACAGGAAACCAACCAGGGTATTTATTAATGTGGGTCCTGAAAGTGAAGTTAAAGCTTAAATAAACCAGGTGTGATTGGTAGTTGGGAGGAGCACACCAATGAAAGCACAGCAAATAAAGTCAGGGGACAGGGAGTATTTCAGAGCAGTTGAGCAGAACAGGAAGATCTACTGAAATATACTACTGTGGGAAGCAGCAGGTAAGACAGGAGAGGTCTGCTGTGCCATGAGGGTCACCTCCCTGGCTGGGGATCAAACTTGTGCAGCTGTGGCTACAGATAGCTTCATAGTGTTGCACTTTAACCCCCTGTGCCAGGGAGGTCTCAGACCTGATGACATTTTCTAAAGATACACAGTTGTTGCATGGAGACTAGAATTGGGAGGGAGAAGTAGGAATATCAGTTTAGAGATGAAGTTTGTGTGGCTAGAGGGTATCATAGACATGGAAAATGTACATGTCCCTCCCTGAGAAGCAACAATAAAAGAGTTTCTACTTTTTCTTCAAATAGCAAGTCGTAAATAAAAAATTCTTAAAAATCTGATACTATCCATGACTTCAGTGTTGTTTTGTATCATTTATAAAGTTGAATATATATATATATCTTCATTTTATCTTGATTGACTTCAACATTTTGGACTTCTTTAATCTCACAATTTGTAAAGCAATGTTTTGTAAACTCTTCAAGTGGCCCAGCAAACCTCTCTTGTCTAGCTCCTCTCAACAGTGTACTTCGTCAGTCTGCCTATTCTCCTCCCCACTCTATGGTGAATCCTCTAACCACCCCTGCACCTCTGGCCTGTACCCCAGTTCTGAATACAAACATATATGATTTTTTTTTAAAGTCTGCTAATGTGGGGGCCTCCCTGGTGACACAGCAGGTTAAAGCGCAGCACTACAAAGCTAGCTGTAGCCACTTCAGCTCAAGTTCAACCCCCAGCCAGGGAGGTGACCCACATGGTACAGCAGACCTCTCCTGTCTTGCCTACTGCTCCCCTCAGCAGTGTACTTCATCAATCTGTCTGTTCTGCTCCCCACTTATCTCTGGTAAATCCTCTCACCTCCCCTGCACCTCTGGCCTGTACTCCAGTACTGTATGCATAAATAAGTAAATCTTTTTTAAAAATATGCCCTAATGTAATACAAAGAAATCTTATGGTTTGGGATAGTTTCCACAGATAACATTCTGTGTAGATTCAGTCTATAGGTTATAAATTCCATTGTAATGTCCAGAGACTTAAATAAAAATGTTACTATTGAAAATTCTACAAAGTAGCTCTCATGATGGTAAGGTTACTTACCAGTGTGGTTCAGGTGAACTTCTTGAATGAGAATGTTTGACAAAAGTGACAACAGTAAAAAAAAAAAAAAAAAAA